AGCCGCACGGATGGCGACGGGGGAACCGCCCCCCGCCGGGGAGATGATTGGCCAAGCGGACGGGACAGAAGCTGTCCGTCAGGGCTTGCCTCCGAGGGGCGGGACCAGGGCAGGCAGTGCTGCAGCGCTGGGGCTGGGACAGCGCTGAGCCCAGGGGTTGTACTGGGATGGCACTGGGACGGCACTGGGGCGCGAGGGAGGCTGGATACGTGCTGCGGCAGCACTGGACAAGCTCTTTCCAGCGGGAATTTTTACCAGCCTGGCAGGGCTGAGCTCCCAGGCCAGGCTGCTAAAATAGTCTTGGGTGAAACTGCTCCATTTCAGAGTTTTCTTGGATCAGCTCTGAAAAACCACCACTTGCCACTCAGTTTTTTAATGCTTCTCTATGATCGTACCTAGTGCCTGGTTTTTAAAAGCAAAAGGGAAGTCATTAATTGCACCTTCGTGCAGGGCAGGAATATGATACAGCCACAAATCCACCCGAAAGTGGTGGCCGCCAGCAGGGACAGCTTTGTGTGACAAAGCAGACGCGTGGCCATCTGTCAGAGAGGGGACTGCCGGCCACCTGGCCTGGGCCAGCGCCAGCCACCTTCCAGCGCTTCCTCCTGCCCTCCGAGAGGGGCACAAGGGAGGCGGGAGGATGCTGGCTCTTCCCTCCTGCTTCATCTCTCTCTCGCAGAGTAAGGTAAACAGGATGTTCTGTACCCCCTGACCACCACGAAAACAAAAATAAATCCACGGCTTTGGATGATCCCAAAGGAAGAACAGAGGTACCCAAAGCCCAGACAACTGCCTCTTCCTGGGCACCTAATTCTCTGTCAATTAACTTCACTCTGCACTATGTTTCTATCAACCTGCAGCACAGCTCTGACGGAAGGGACAGGAATAACCCGCTCTCCAGAACCAAGAGATGCCAGCTGTGTGATATAAAACACGTTTTCCAATAAATTCCTGAGTTCCCAGCAGTCTTTGTGCCCCCCCTAGACATAAGCCTTCCTATATACACGCTTTGCGTTCAGGAACAACCGTGTAGCACTAGGAAAACTTTTAACAAAACCCTTTTCTTGCCGCCTTTCCTAGAAAACAGAAAGGATTTCCTCCCGTAAACTGCTCCATCCCAACCCCCCGCTGTCTGTCCCCACCTGAGTGCTCTGAAGGCAGGCACATCTCCACCTAAAAAACCGAAAGCCCCAGGAACAAGAGCGGCAACAGCCAGAACCCCGCGCCGAGGCGGGTGTTTATTGAACCCAACCCCAGGCGGGGCAGAAGCAGCGCGGACCCCGATCGCCTTCATCGCAGGGAACAGCCGCGAACGCTCATGCTGAGGGAGGGAAAACTTCCAAGTCAGGGCCAGCGCAAGGGGAGACAGATCCAAGGGAAGGAACAAGGGGCTTAACTACACGGAGAAGGAAGAGGTTTTCTGTTAGAAAGAGGTTCAGTGAAGCAGCGAGCGCTGTGGTCAGACAGGGGATGTTCTCCGGCAGCGACAGCCCCTCCAAGCCGGATCCAGGCTACGCCGGGCACGGCCTCAGCGCTGCTTCACAAGGGAACTCGGCACGCGAGCAAAGCATCGATCACTAACAGGCTGCTGCAGTTACACACTAGGTCACTACATTTACACGTTTCAGGGCTCTATCGACCTCCCCCGCTCTCATCAGCCGCCCAAACAGGGGTTCACAGCTTCTCTTTTCAAACTAGAGCTGGCAGGCAGTTGCAGGAGCCCCGAAAACGCTGGAGGATGCAAAGGGTTGGGGTTACACAAGTGGCAACGCAGCCACGTTCCGCCTCTGGGCTCCACAGCTCCTATTTCTTTCTGCCTCCTCTTTCTTTGAGCGCCAGGTGAATCAGAGAGCCGCTCGTCATGTTGTAATAAGCCAGGGAGTTCGAATCCTTGATGAAGATGCCCTGAGGGGAGGAGAAAAGCAAACAACAACAAAAAAACCCCCTCAGTCACGGCAGAAATCTTCCTGCTCCCTTCCCACCAAACCTCCCAGACGAAGCCCTCCCGGCCGTCCTCTCAGGAGAGGGTGATGCCAGAATGCTGCAGGCTTTGAAAAACCCTGGAGGGATCCCAGTGTCTCAGAAGACAGGCACCGGAGGAGGTGGGTGTGCTGGGAACGATGCGAGCGCACAAACGGACAATACAGACTATCTACACCTCTGCAAACGTATAGGCAGAGACAGTCCCACAACAAGGGAAGGGATTTAGGCTCCATTCCCGCCCTCTTTCATTTTTGCCTGGAACAAACAATCAGTTACGCCTCCGTTCTCCCCCGGGTGAAGACAGCGCCTGCCCACAGACGCGCTCCCGAGGAGGGGAGCGCCCACAGTTCACGGCTCCGGCAGCAGGTTGTGCCTGTGCACGCGCTAAGAAGGAAGGGCGCCTTTCCAGCAGCTCCAGCCCCGAGAGGAAAAGAGAGCATGCCCTCTTCCCCTTCCACCCTGTGGGGAAAGACTTCTCGGAGCTGCCAGGGTTTCAGGGTACTCTCGCCCACCTTCCAGGGCACGTGACAGCGCAGTGGGAGCAGACTGCTGCATTCAAATGTCACACACACACCACCCACCCCCCCCAAAATTTCAGAGGAAGCCATCGGGCTCAGAGCGCTCAGCTGCACCAGCCGCAACACGCAGACCCGCCGATGCCACCACCCATACGGGCCCGGCCTGCCGTAGGTGCGGGCAGCTCGGCGCCAGGTGTGCCGCACGGGCAGCGGAAACACCCCCCTCCGCTCCTCCCGCTATCGCGGCAGGAACGCTCCAACTTCTTCTCGTAAAACGCTGGGTTTTGTGAGAAAGCCCCGAAGCAACAAACCCCATTTGAAGGGCTTACACCCACCTCGTACTGCAGCTTCTGCTTCCCAGCCGGCATCCCTGTGGCCTCGTGGATCTTCACCTTGATAACGGACACCTAGGAAGAACCACAGGGCTCGCTCAGGGTTTTTTTTTTTTCCCCCCCACTGCCCAGCCCGGCTCCCCCCGGCCACGCAGCCCCGCTGGGCGGGAGGTGGCAGCGTGGGGAACACCCAGGGTTTACAGCTCAGGTCAGCTGCTGCTCTGCACGCGAAGAAACCGGGCAGCAAAGCCAGGAGGGGTAGAGGCCGGGTGAAGCAGCTACGTGCCTGGTCTGAGAGCGGCAGGGTGAACACCAGCACTTGGCCGTTCAGTTTCCATTCCGTCTTGTCCTGCATGTTGGGAACCTGGACTTTGACCGTGACCGGGCCCTGGAGGAAACAAAGATAACGATAACGTCCCTCACAGTCAAGGAGGCTCCGGACGACGATAACAGAGCACCAGACAAATTATTTACAGGCACACAGCGGCAGACAGATTATTTATTCCCAAAACTAGCCACGTATCTCGACTTCTCAGTAAACACACAGAAATGTATTCGCCTCAGCAGTGAGAAAGTTACTTCACCGCCACCAAAACAAAAGACTTGGTTGGATTTCTCTCATCAGGCCCTCCTGCTGCTGCCATTCCCCACCCATCACACGCACACGCAGTACGAACAGATGCCCAGGAGAAGCACAGAGCCTTGGGAAAGGGCTTCAAACTCAGCCCGCCATGGCGGCACCCCTCAGGCAGGTATTCAGTTCGTGTTGTTACAGAACATACCACATTACCACACTACCACGCTGACACGGATTTATTCAATCTCCTTGCACCTCCAGCTTAGCCGTCCTCTGCTTAAAAGCTTATCAACAGCTTCAGTTCTTCCTTGCATTACTACAAACCCACCTCCCACGGCCCTTAATTAATTACAGAAGACTGCTGTCTTACTAAACTTCTCTTGGCGGTGCCGTACCGCTCTCTGCAGTAAAGCGGAGAGC